AGTGCGCGTTATTTGTAAATTGGTTTTACCGGAGCCGAAGGAAGATTGGCTTGCAACTTAAGTTGTGAGTGCAGATTTGTGCGAAAAAGTAACCGGTGCATCGTAGTGGGGCTGACAATCGAGGCCCAACTTTTCTTCAAATAGGTGGAATCTGCTTTTGTCTACGTAGCTCTTCCTCATGGACTTGTGGAACTCAATGAAAAGCTAAAAATTCATTCCTTTCGAGGGTCATCGTAAACCACTTTTTCTTCCATTCATTGCTATTACTTCACAAAGCCGCATATGAATGGATGCACACGGAAGGCACAAATAGCCTATTCGAAGTAAATTGTAAATTTTTCCCGTTTTTCAATGGATATTCGTGATCTATCCATATTTCACATCCTTGTACTTGGTTGTAGGCGTATAGCTCTTATGTCATGTGCATGTAAATCGTGTCCAGATGCTGGGCGGAGTGAATAAATTATACAGGAAATCTGTGCAAAGGCAAGGAATGATGACTTGCCACGAAGTGATCGGGGGAGAATTAAAAGCAGGTGACTGTGTTCTCATGTGGATGTGCGTGTGTATGTGTATATGTGGGTAAATAGTCATCTGCCATCCAGTCGAAATGTGGCAAGCGAAAGATCTGAGCCTCGGCCATATGCCTTTTTGAAGGGGAGTGGGAATGAGGGTAAGGGAGGAGCGAACCAGGGGACGGGTCACTAGATTCCCGGCCGTTGGATGTATGATTTATCCAACGCATTGATATAGTGTGTGATAGATTGCATTGCATGAAAACATGTGTACATACGTGTGCGTCAGCATGCTCCTGTCTATCATTGTGCATTTCGAAAGCATGTAGGCTTGCAGAAAATCAGGACAGCAAAGAGGACGCATAGATAATGCTATCTTTTTGCTCGCTTTGAAGGAATATTCGCCCAATTCTGGCTCCAATTCTGGTAGCGAACTGTCCGGCAGCACAAGGTGAGCACAGAGGGACGAAGGCAGGACGCAAGTAATGGGGCAAACAGGAAGCCGTTTTCGAGTTGATATACGTAAGCAACATCTCAAGGCAAAACGCGATAGAATCGAGAAGCCAGTCAAGTATGAGGGTGTGAAGAGGGGCCAGTTGAGTAAAGTGCAGGGAGCAGCGAAAAGGAAAGCGGAGCCCTCGAAAAGTCTAAGCTCACCAATGTCAGAAATTACAGGCATTCAGAGGTTGAATAAACACTCAAAACTGTCTATAACAAATAATAGCACACGATACAGGCAATTAGATATCATAACTGCAAGGAGATAAAGAGTGTGAAAAGTTCAACAAAGCAATATAAAGCAATAAGATAAATATATATATGCATGTATATATGAGGTTATCCAGCATTGATATTGGCTCAATTCATAATTATGTACATATTCATATATCTTCTTCCTTCATCTTTCATTAATCAGCTCTTTGTCTCCTACCTGGCACCATTATTCTGATTTCAATCATATATATTTATT